GTTTAATGATAGTGGACAATGTTGTCTACCTTGTGCCAGACTATCAACAGGCATGGAATATACTTCTCACTATCATGGCACATTCACTTAACAGTCTATATCTCAGCTATTGGCTTTCAACATTGCTAACCCAATGTTTCATTATTACATTAAGAATGCTGGTTGTGAAGCATATACCTTTAGTTCCAGCATTTGGGAGGCAGAGGCAAGCCCATCTTTGTGAGTTTAAGGCCTTCCTGGTCTACATAGTGAGTTCTAAGATAGCCAGGGATATATAGAGAGGCCCAAAGAAGGACCAGAAGAGCCCGTGAGTGGCACATCAGAGAAGTTCTTGTTCATGGCTCTCTTTTCCTGTGAACACTATGTCAGCATTCCAGCTTCTCTCAGTTGCAAGCATAACCCCCTATCTCTCATGCTTCAACAACGATGTCTTATGGTTTGTAGGTTCTTAGTACTCATTCCACATAGGTAGAGTCAGATCACATTTGATGAACTGAGTGTAGAAATGCAGGTCCTAAGGCAAGGTAGGCTTTTAGGAAGGGATAGGTTCAAGACCCTCAGTCTGTGGAAGACTGACTTTGACTTTTAAAAAAATTATCTTAATGTGTATGTTTGCTTGCATGTTTGTATACCACATTAATGTACTACCCTGGAGACCAGAAGAGGGTTCTAATCTCATGGGACTGGAGTTATAAAGTGTTGTGAGTCACCATGTTTTTTTTTTTTTTTTTCTAAAATATTTTTCCCCAAGAGTTTATTTTTCTATTAGTTCAATTTGAAAACAAGGTTGCTTCACATGTCAATCTCTTGTCCCTCTCCCTCTCCTCCCCCTAGCCCCCTACTAGTCCCCCAAGTCATCCTCCCTCTGCTCCCCCGGGAGGGTCAATGGGGACTCCCCAAAGTCCACCACATCATCCTGGTCCGGGCCTAGATCCTTCCCCGTGTGTCCAGTCCGAGAGAGCATCCCTTCACGTGGCTCTCAAAGTCCCTTCTTACGCCAGGGATAAATACTGATCCACTACCAGGGGCCCCATAGAGTGCCGATGCCTGCTCATTGACATCTACTTTCAGTGGTCTGGATCAGTCCCGTGCTGGCCTCCCAGACAGCAGTCTGGGGCCTATGTACTCCCCCTTGTTCAGAGTTGCCATGTTTTTAAACAGTTGCCATGTGGATGGTGGGAATCAAACCCAAGTCCTCTGGAAGTATTCTTAACCACTGAGACATTTTTCCCAGCCCCAGAGTTACTTTGACTTTTTTGTGAGGTCATTCATTTAAATGGCTATTTGACCACCTAGACTCTATGGTATCTTTATCTTTGAATTAAGCCTTGGATCCTGTGTCAAACATATAACAGCCTCTCCAAAGGTCTGTATTTCTAAGCTTATTTTTATTGATGTTGTTGAGGAAAATATATTTATGGCAGGTAATGCTTACCAATTAAAACCACCCAGTTTCATACAGAACTAAGGTAAAAGAACCATGCATTAATAACTAGTATCAAAATCTAGTTTCTACAAAACTAATATGTGCAAATGGCCAATCTAAAATGCCTGATGTTCAGCTATCAAACCAATATGGTCAACTCCTAGTTTGGAGAATCTTCTTAGAAGTGGCCCTCAAGAAGTACACATAAGAAATGAAGTGTCAAACCAGGCGGTGGTGGCACACACCTTTAATCCCAGCACTTGGGAGGCAGAGAGAGGTGGATCTCTGTGAGTTCAAGGCCAGCCTGGTCTACAGATCTAGTTTCAGAATTTTAGGACAGTCAGAGATACACAGAGAAGCTGTGTCTTGAAAAACCAAAGAAAGAAAGAAATGATTTGTCTTATTCCCAAATTCAAGCATATACTATTTTCTTGAGACTATTTTTAATATTTTATTATTTCTTTTTTATGTATGTAGTTTATTGATGTGTTCCCATGGGTGTAAATACACATGCATGCAGGTATATGGAAACCAGAGGTTGGCATCAGGGGTCTTCCCTGATTTCTCTATAGCTTGTTTTCATGAGACAGTCTCTTCCTGAGCTTGTAGTTCAGTTCTGCCTAGCTAGCTGACCAATGAGCACTGGGGAACACATGCACAATGCTGATTTCAGCTTTTTATATGCTGAACTACAGTCCTCATTTTTGCACAGTGGCCCTGAAAATTCTGAAGTTATTGATCTTGAGCTTGCTTTAGAAAATGGTGTGTTATCAGGGGCTTTCATGTCACAGCTCACCTCTGCATTCTGTGGGGTGAATTTTACAGGATAAGAAAAACTGACCTTGCATGAACTGTCTGACCTTCCCTTCTCCTGACAGCTACTTCTCTCTGTAAACAGCTGTAGCTACAAACAAGCCACTAGACAGCTCTGACCAATGAAATGGCCTTTGCATATCTGCTTTTAGCTAACACACTGGCAAGCTGGAGCTGACAACGGGGCCCATGAAGGACTGCGGGGGCCAAGCCTGTTCTTCTGCCTTCCTGGTGTTTAGCCTGTGTGGCTGCATTCCCAGGATCCGTGGGACAGAGAGGTTGTTTCCAGTATACACACACACACACACACACACACACACACACACACACACACACACACACACACCGGTCAGGGTGCTCTCAAAAAGAAATACTATTTGTGGGTTCTGAGCTGGCCAATGGAAAAGTTTCTTCAGAGTAAGAACACCAGACACTGGACTCCCAGGCTTGCAGAACTTCCACTTGTTGAAACCCTTCAATTCTAATCCCAAACTCAGGTCATAAGAAAGGAGCAAAGAACAGATTACAAGCTATTGTGTCTACAAACTGAGCAAGCTTCATTCAACAAATGACCTTCATTCAACAACAAGTAAATGAGGACTAGTCATATGCCAAGTTCAAGGTCCCCAGCTAAGGCTTCTCACAACTGTTGCATAGCAAAAATCTGACTCTATTTCCTGTCAAATAGTAGGGAAGCCTAAATAAAGGAGGCATGGAACTCTCTTTACAGAAAACAGTTAAACTGAGATAAAGACCAACAAGGAGTCAGCCAAGTCTAGTCCACAGGCCTAAATTAACGTCCACTCTTCTTTTTGTATGGCCCAGAAATGAAGAGTAGTTCTTACATTTTTAAATAGAGAAGGTGAGGAAGAGAGGAGAGGAGGAACAAGAGAAAAGGAGGGAGGGGAAGAAAAATTCACAATACACAAGGATTTATGTGATAGTCAAACCTCTATTCCCTAAATAAAGTTTTATTGAAACAACCATGTTCCTTAGTTCTCCCACCACATGAGGCTCCTTTGACACTTGGAAAAGGTGCAGTTCCTGCAATGGAGACCATGTGCCCTGGGGAAGCCAGATATGTGGCCCTTACAGAAAAAGTTTGCCAACTATCATTTTAGATTTTAAAATACTTCTTTCCATTTAGCTGAAGTGGCTGACTGAGAGCATACACCTCAGGTTTGGTTACGGTACATTTATAGATTGCAATATGCATGAGCTCTCGATGGGGAAGAATTATGATTTGTGTTTGTGTGTGGGCAGGAACACCCTCCTTCGTAGGTGAGTGTAGGGATCAGAAGCTGACTCAGGTGTCTTCTTTACCCACTCCCCTTACTTCTTTTTGTGCTTGTTTGTTTTGGTTTGGTTTTGAGACAGGGCTTCTCTGTAGCTTTTGGAGCCCATCCTGGAATTCACCCAGTAGACCAGGCTGGCCTTGAACTCACAGAGCTGGCCAGTCTCCTGCTCCCGAGAGAGTGCTGGGATTAAAGGCTTGCACCACCACTACCCGGCCCCTTACTTCTTTTTGAGACAGGGTGTCTCACTGAATCTGGGGCTCACCAGTTTGGCTGACTGGCTGACAGGCAAGTCCTAGGAATGCTCCAGTCTCTGCCTCTTCCTGGCCCAGCAGTGGAGGTACAGACACACAGTTGGTAATATGCTTTTTAAATGGATGCTGGGGTTTTGAACTCAAGCCCTCATGCTTGCATGGTAAACGCTTTATCCCCTGCACCATTTCCCCAGATCTGATGTCTTGTTGATATTCATTTTCTACCTTTATCCTGTTAGGCTAGAACATTGTGCCTTTTTCTTTTCTTCTTTCCTTTTCCACTGCACTGGGGGTGGGGGGTGGGGTGGGGAGGGTTTGGGGGTGTGGGAGATGTGGGGTTTATAACTGGCCTCATGCATCAGGTGCATGTCCCAACTCTGAGCTATAAGGCCCAGCTCTTGGAACCACACGGCTTGATGTTTTGCTTTTTTGGCCATACAGTCATATTCTTTTACAGACAAATCTTGATCGTAAAGACTGGGCTATCCTGAGCTTTCCCCAGTAGATGTTGTTAAGGCAGAATCCTGGGAAATGTCTGCCTGTGAACAGTTAGTTCTGCAGATGGCTAGCTACAATCCCCTGTGCTATGGGGGCTCCATGCAGATCATGAGAGACTGGGAACAATGTCAGCCGTGCTGCCCTGTGACAGTGCTTAACGAGCAAGCGAATGACAGGGTTCAAGCTGGCAGCTGCACAGGGTTACTCAAGCTTTCATCAGCAGTTAAGTCTGTTTTTTCCTCAACATAGCATCTTTCTGTGGAAGGCAGACATAAGCAGTATTTCTATGCTGTTAATACTTCCCTGAAACATATTTCCCTATATGACAGGGATTTCCCCCTTGAAAGTCAGCAACTAGATTGAGAGGAAAAAAGATGTGCATCTATCTACTCTTTGGAACTCTCTGGTTATATGTAATGAAGTTCACATTCCAGGGATGATACCCAGCTCCCCATGGACGCACAGAACAAAGGCCGTTGGAGGTGCTGGGCTCTGAGCTCAGCTTTTCAGTAACCCCAGGAGGTTCATTTAGTAAGAGTACTGTCCTCACTGAGTGTGCCCCACCAGGCTGCCTGTTCAGGTGGCAGTACCACAGCTGGATCTCACTAATTATTATACCATCTTCCTACAAGGTACATGCAAGGTAGTTTCTTTAAATAAAAGAGCAACAAATGCATTTTTAAGTCAATAAGAGAACAACTTCTGGGGACTCACCTAGAGAAATCTCCTTTTGCTTCCTGTGGAAGAAAAAAAAAATGAGTGAAACAGAGCCATTGTTAAGAGTGAAAACTTACATCCTGTACTCATGGCTACTCCCTTGCTGACTAAGAAAAGACTGGCTTCTTACTGCTGCTGCCCTTCTCTCTGGAGTTGGATGAGAGGGATGCTAACCCACGGGTGGGAGAGCATTCCCATAACTGTAATCCCCAGCACTTGGGACGCTCAGGCAGGACTCTGAGTTTGAAACTAGCCTGGTTGCATAGTGAGACCCTATCTGATGGGTCAGAGTCAGGGAGAATATATGTGTGTGTCACCCGAATAAGAGACACGATGTAAACGTTACAAAGTTTTATGTAAGTTTATACTCCAAGGCCCTGGCCTGACTAGATTAAGCTTTAAAACTTAAACTGAACACATATCAGCATAAAATTCTCTCCCTCCCTCCCTCTCTCCCTCCCTCTTTCCCTCTTTTCTTTTCTCTCCTTTCCTCACACATACACGATTATCTCTCTCCCATATCTCCTCACTCCTCCCCCACTCTCTTTCACCCCCCCCATCTTGAGTTCCCCCTGTCCTCCTTTAAAATTTCCCCTCTTTCTTCCCCTGCCCTTCCAGTCCCTTCCTCCCTCCCTCCCTTTTCTTCGAGACAGCTGCAGTCTGCCTTCTTGGCCCAACCTCCAAAGCAGCTGGGATTACAGGTGCATGCCACTGTGCCAGGCTAGAACAGTCTACTTCTTCTGTCACTGTTGGAGTTGTGAGCTCTTTTCTAATTATACCAAAGAATTGGAAGCTGGAGGCCATGTGAGCATCACTGAGCGCGGTAGACTATCTTGGACACAGCATACAATAAACACTTGTTAAAAGCATAACTTCATGATAGTGCTTCAACTCATCTTGCCAGTATTATAGATGATACTCCTGTCTGTCTGTCTGTCTGAAACGAAAGATTATTACTTTGCCCTTTGGGGGGAAAGGAGGTGATTCTTGCTATGTATTCATTTGTTTTTCTCAGGGCAAAAGAAAGTACCAAACTTACAGAAAGTGGGAGTTGGAGAATCAAATGATCACAGATTAAATCCATAACTTTCCCTCAAGGTCATATGATATTACTGTCTTGAAATTTTGGAATAGTACAAACCTCTAATTATGGCCATAGCAAACTTTAGAAAGTCAAACTGTGGATATGGCTGCTGTGTGGGCAAGGCAGTCACATTTCCTTTTGTGTGTTTTTAAATCAACTTACCTGTAAAATATAGGAAGCCAGTTCAAACACCACCTCACTGTCCACATCAATAAGCTCCTGAAAGGAGAAAAGTCAGGATGAGCCTTTTATTTTTCTACTCAGTTTTGAATAATTAACTACTTAAAAACCTTAAAAATACAGATCTTGTGATGTAGTCCAGACCAGATGCAAACTCACAACTTTGTTGTCTCTGCCTCCCAAGTGTGGAAATTGTAGGTATGTGTCATTGAACTCCTTGTAATTTGGCACTAAACAGCTTCCTTACAGCAGCTCCCATAGAAGAGAACTGGTCTTCCTTGGGAGTTCCCCAGAATCTCAAACACTTTTAGAGTGTCTTTGGTTCTTTAGACAATTTCTCTGAGTCACTCCATCCTGAACCCTCCCCAAGATCTTTTCAAAGAAGCCTACGAGTCATCTTCAAATCTGGATGAGGCAGTAGGGATGGACCATGTCTAGCTTTGTATACACACTCTCATCTTTATCTTATTTTTATTTCATGTGCATGGGTGTTTTACCTGCATGTATGTCTATGTACCACATGTATGCAGAAAGAGGGTGGGGGGAGAGAGAAGGGGAGTGGGGAGAGAGGGAGGGGAGGAAGGGAGAGAGGAAGAGGGAAGGACAGTGGGAGAAAAGGAAGGAAGGAAAGAGGGAGGGAGAGGAAGAGAAAGACTGTGAAGACAAATATCCAAGGCAGAAGAGGGTGCTGGAACCCTTAGTCTAGAGTTATAGATGGCCATAAACCATCTATCCTATGAGTGCTGAGAAGAAGTCCTTTAGAAGAGGACCTAGGTTCGGAGTAACCAGTACTCCTAACCACTGGGCCATCTCTCCAGCCTCGAACCTGCTCATCTTATTAGTCACAGGAATAATACTGCTCAATAACCAAAATTATATTTTTTAGTTTTTTTTTTCCTGAGATAGGGTCTCATGTGCAGCCCTGGGTGACCCGGAGCTCAGACTTGCCTCTGCCTCCCAAGTGCTGTGACTGAAGGGTTTACAACCATGTCCAGCCCCTTTACAGCTTCTTTTTAATTTCTGCTTTAGCACTGGTAGTGAGGCTTCATTGAAAGAAATGTTACAATGGGATCATGACTTGATTGGAAGTTAAACAAGGCAAGACTGAGAGTGTAGTTCCTCAGTGGTAGCCAGCATGGTTCTTCCATGTGCTCCCAGTGCAGTGTGGCTAGTGCTATCAGCTCAATATAGATCCATAATGTTTCTCTCTTGATGAAGATTCTATTGTTCATTGCTAGTCTAGTGTATAATTTAAATATTCTTCTGTTCTTTTTAGGTCTTCACCAAATAGTTGCAATCTAGGAGCAAGGTCTTAAAAGAATAAAAACTTCTTGTTTTTTGAAAAAAAATCCAATGTGTGTTTTGACAAAACATAGATATAATTAGACTCTAAGTAGCAACATTCACATCAATTCCGGCATGTGTTTACTCCAGTGGTCCAAGTTGACATCACCTAGTGATGTCATAGCCACCATAGTTTGTATAAATGTACTTGATGCCTGCACAACAATAAAACCACTTACCATATCTATCAGAATACTCCCTGCCATGAAGTTCCTATGTTTGTATAAACAGAACCACTGAGGCACTAATTAAAACATGTGCAAAGGTCTGTGTGTTTATCATATACAACTTGATGGCTTCGGAGGCAGGCCTGCGCAGATACCATCAGCACAATAAATCTTCCCATTATCCCCCAAAATATCTGTTTTTGTGATAAATACTTGACATGACCCACCCTCTTAGTGAACTTTCAAGTGAATGATGCCATATTATATATAGCCCATAGTGTTAGAGACAAACTCAGGTCCATTAGTATGCAACAAGAAGTTAATTGATGCCATTTTTCTATTGTCAAGATCAAGGAGAAATTTGTCTTTATCTTCCCTCTCTCCCCACTTCTTTCTCTTTTTCTTATTTCAAATAGGGTCTCACTCTATAGCTCTAGCTAGCTTTAAACTGATGGGTCATCCTCCTGCCCCAGCCTTTCAAGTGCTGTGATTAAGGTGTGAGCCACCAAACCCAGAACATCTTATTCACTATCATCACTAGATCTGATAGTGAGTGGCTGGACAAGAGGATAAGCTAGGAGAGATGTTGAGCCCAGTTAGCTTCACACCACACTTTTTACTGAGGCTGGAAATCCAAAAAACATGATGTTATGAGGCTTGCCTCAAGTCAGGAGGACCATAATGGCAGCTATTGTGCTGGGAAACACAGCTTCTCTAATGCATGACCTCATTTAGGACTTGCCCCCTCCCAAGTTAATAAGGTCTCAGTCCCAGCCAGCACGCTCTCAGAACAATATTTATAACTGAAGTTAGCACGAAAGAGTGATTTAAATTAAGAGTTATTTGAACCACCAGCCAAACTCTGATATATGGATTTTTTAATTAGTTGGGGGGTGTCCAAAATTGTCTGCCATAATTCATGACAACATATTCCAACAGTTTTGCATCTTTCGAAGAAGGGATATCCTCATGGTCTCTCAAACCAAGGAATTCCAAAAATAGATAAAGATAGTTGCTACTGAGCCACTTCAGAAGTGTAGCTCAAGAGCACCAACAATCATCTAACCACCAGATGGAAGACTGGGGACAGCCATTCTTTATGCTTCACCAGCCATGGGAGCTTAACGCCCTGTGTAATTCATCTGCCCTGTCAGAGCTGGGCTGTGGGAGAATGTCTGCAATGGCAGTTGTGGGATTACCAGCTCCCATCAAAATATAAGTCATGCAACAGTGTGCAAATGCTTCCACAGAAACTCTGTCCAGAGTTTCCACTGTAGATCATTTCTACCCTTGCTTTAGTCATTTCTTTTCCCACTGATCAGCTTGCAAAAGAGTGCACAGTACATGAGAGCATATTGGTGTGTGTGTGTGTGTGTGTGTGTGTGTGTGTGTGTGTGTGTGTGTGTGTGTGTATGCGTCAGCCCTTCTGTTAAGCATTTACACCTATGATGCAGTGTGAATGGTCAACAGTGGGCTAATGGTTAACACCATCTGGGAGGCTTATCTTGTGTGTAACTCAAAGTCAACCGCTGGCAGACAGCCCTGTGCAGGGGCATGTGGTGTGACCGATAATTTGATTCATTTGTTAGATGTAAGTGTCTGTGTGGGGAAGGAGAGGTGGGGGTAAGGAAGGAAAACCTTTTCTTTTGCACAAGCCATTATGTAGTCCCAGGAGGTCCTGTAGGTGAATATTAACCACAGTGCTCTACCGGCTATGGTGAAGCCGCAAGCAACAGTCTTAAATGTCTGGCCTGGTTTAGGCGAGTTCCCTCCCACTGTAGCTATCCTTAGGGTAGGTGGAAAAGAATGTCTTTAACTACGGTGAATTCTCCTTTTCCCTCCAGGTGAAGAGACTACAAAACACACAGAGTCAGAATGTGTCCAGCAAGAGAGGAAAGGAAGGCAGGGGGAGATACCTCAGACTCTGCACACTCTCCAAATCTGATGGAGAAGGCTGTGTTATTATGTCTTAGTATTCCTAGCTAATATTTATTGAATTTAACAACCACTGGATGTCCCCAGAGGAATCAATCTAGAGAGCACATACAAGGAACCAAACTTAGACCCGTAGGAAGACAAGTTCTTGACTATTGAGAAAAGACTTGCCTATTCTCCAAGTCTTAGTTCCTCATAGTACTTCTCCTATCTTTTGTTTAAATATCTTTGTTATTTCTTAATTACAATTAATAATCTCTTGCATTTCTTTCTCCTAGGTGATTGCATCTTTAAGATCTTCCTGTAATGAAACAAAGCCTTTGATTTTCTGTTCACTTCCCGGGTTTCCTCTGAAAGCTGAGGTCACTGTAGAGGAGTTAGCAGGGGTCCCAGAGATCTACCTTTCAGGTCCCAGCTGGTCACATGACATCAAATATGACTCTACCTTTCCCTCAGCTGGCTCACCCCGAAAGCCAGAGGTGGTTCCCTTCATATGCTCTTCCAGCAGAGGAAACAAACTGTCTGACCAAGAGAACAGAGAGTATACACCCTCATACTTTCCTGGGGCTCTGGGCTTTCTCTGGACAGAAGACAAAATGGGGCTGTGTGAGGAGAGGCAGGAGGCTCTTCAAGAAATGTCTGTGTGGCTTCCACCTGGCCATCTGAAAAGGTTGGCGTTGTGTCATTCCTGAGGTTTTGTTCCACCAATGGTTCTGTGCTGGAGCCTCAGTGCTTCCAGAGCTATCTGGGGAGGGCTTCTGCTGGGTCATTTTCTGAGCTAGAATCTTGCCTGGGAATCTAGGGTGGTGGTGGACATGTGATGATTTTACATTGAGAGGGCATGTTGTATCTTTTGTCTATTGGGGCCATGATGTATGCATTTTGGATCTCTGTTTCCCTTACTACTGAATGATTGGTGTTACTTCCATTGATCCTTGCAAAATAGTATGGAATGATGGAATGTACAGTGTGTACAGGCATGCAGGTGTATTCTCAAGAGAGCAGATGGAGAAGGTGGACCACTTCTTTTGCTCCACATTGCTTTATCTAAAGTGACGAAGAGGAGTGATGGCATTTATGGTGGCTTTCAACTGTCTGGGGAAGATTTCCAGCAGCAGAGGATTTCGACATGTTCCAAACAAATACCCTCGTGCCACAGGGCTTATGGATACTCTCCTGTTACCCTTAGTTGGTTCTTCCTGACCCATGGGTTCAGAAGGGTTTGCTGTTACTTTTCACATTGTACCAAGAATGTCAATGGTGAGGATGAGAAGTTCCAACTTTCCCAAAAAATAAATGAGATGATTGCAATAGTTAGTGTTGATCGTCATCTTGACAGGCCCTAGAGATGGGCCTCTGGGCATGTCTGTGAAGGATTTCCTTGATTACATTAACTGAGGTTGGAAGGCCAGCTGTTGGTGGCACCATTCAATGGCTGGGATCCTGGACTGGATGAATGGGGAAAAGGAGCTAGTGGCAGCATCCATCCCTCTGTTTCTTGACCATGGATGTGGTGTGATCAATTATGTCAAACCTCTGCCAGTTATACTTCCCTACTATGCTGGACCAAACCTTTGGACCATAAGCCAGAAT